AAAGCCATTTTAAAGAAGCCATTTGGCTGGTAGTTGAACTGGTCTTCTTGTTTATTAGTAATGTAAATAGATCAGATACGATAAAAAGTGTGTTTTTATTTGAATATGTTCCTTCCTATTATCTCAGAAAAATGCCTCTCAGAAAAAAAGTAATGATTTATCTTTTGACTGTTGAAAGCTTTTAAAATTTTATTTGTTGACTTTTCCTTTTGCTTAATAGTTACATTTAGCAGTGTTCTGTAATCTAACACCAAAGCTTTCATAAGATGTTCTGCTAACAGGATACAGTCAAAAGTCGTTAATTCGGACACCCATAATCCGGACCTCAAAGCTACAAACTTTCTGCGCATGCGTCGCGTTCACGCATGCGCACAGGCGTTTACGAGAGCGCGTAAGACCCTTACGGCTGCGAATATGTTTGTGCGCAATCGCGTTAAAATGTGTAACGGAGTTATACGAAGCTAAAGTTATCTAATTCAGTTAATGTTGCAGATTGCGTTGTTCCTTAATCTTCGAATTGGATCCAGGCTTATTATTTTTGCAGACTGTTAGAGCAATTTTATAAAAGTAAGCTTGAACTTTCGATTATGTCAAATAGAATTTCCGATATATATTTACTACAAAGCGAAAGTATGTTTTGAAATCCGAAATCTGTTTATCAATTTCACGCTGCTCTGCGGCAGAGGGGGGGGGCAGAAACGTCATTATTAGATTATGATAGATTAGAAAGATTAATGTCAAATAAAATTTCCGATATATATTTACTAATTTGTAATTTGTATCTACAAAGCGAAGTATGTTTTGAAATCTGAAATCTGTTATCAATTTCACGCGGCGGATTGGAAGTTAATCTGTCAGCACTATCCTTATCTTCAGGGCAGATGTTTTTATTTTATTTGGTTTATAATTCCGTACTAAGTGTAGTATTTTCTCGATGTACTCCGTCTTTGATATGATTTAAATCAAGTTCTGGTCATTATAATTCGCTTCCGATAGTGAAGAAAGTGACCAGAGGTTATTGAAAACGAAAACATTTCGATTGACAAATTAGTCGGTATTCTCAACACAGCAATTATAGGACTTGAACAGCGGAACTTTGTAACTAAACAAGAAATTATGTCTGTTTAATAGAATAAAGAGAAAGTATTATCACATGAAACGAAGCAACTTACATTGAAGGAAATGTTTAATAAAGTAAACAAATAAATATTAAGCTTCTTCTTTTTGTAAATTTTGATACCCTTTAGATCATAATTGTTCTTTATTTCATAAATAACGGTTTCATATTTTTAATTTTGTAATTTCTGCATGCCAGCTTACCAGATTTAAACTGATGATCTATAATCCGGAAAAATCGATAATCCGGAATCGCCGAAGTCCCGAGTAGTCCGGATTAACGACTTTTGACTGTAGTACCTATATTTTTTATAATTTTCTTGCCTATGCAAAGTGAACCGGCCTTAACATAATTCATATGTATAAACAATGGATTTCAAATAGACCTTCTGGCATAGCATTTTTTTACCTTGTAGAGGTAGTATTATTAATGGGAAAATACCATCTGCTTTAGTTAAGTGATCTACCAGCTTAGGCTTCTATGCAGCTTCTATAGAGGTTACACAGGTTAAAATCAAAATTTCGAAGACATTTTTTTAATACAGTTCAAAGTCCGTAATCTGGACGTACATTATCCGGACCTCAAAGCCGCAAACCTTTTTTTTTTTTTTTGGTGTGCTTTATGCATGTGCGTAATGCGCATTTAATGTATAACCGACGGTATAAGCTAGGCTAAAATTATCTTTACTGATTCTAAGGCATTTCAGTTAATGTGGTAGATTGTGCTGTTCCTTGAATCTTCTAATTAGATCCGGCTTATTCTTTTTTGCAGACTGTTAGAGCAATTTTATAAAAATTAAGCTTGAACTTTCGATTATGTCAGAAAAAGTCTCCAATTCTGGAGTTGCCAAAGGATCTACAAAGCGAAAGCATGTTTCGATGTCCATCAAACAAAAAGCGGAATTGCTGCAAAAAATGAATAAAGGCATATCCGTCTCAAAATTATGCGAGGAGTATGACATTGGAAAGTCAACTGTATATGACGTAAGCAAAAAGAAAAAGGAACTGTTTGAATTTTTTGTGGATTCTGACACCCCAATTGCAATGAATAACAGAAAAAGGGTTTGTTATGCTAAAAGTGATGATCATGAAAAAGTGATGATTGGATGGGTCAGACAACCTCGCAGTGAGGGCGTGCCATTGACAGGTCCAATGCTAATGGCTCAAGCCAAAATATTTCATGAAGAAATAAACTTAAACACTGAGTGCACATATTCGACAGGTTGGTTAACCAAATTTAAAAATTACCATGGTATAAGACAATTAAAAATTTCAGGTGAAAAAGCTTCAGTTGATACTGAAGCTGCTGAACAATTTGCAGATGAATTAATTCATTGAACTCATTACTAGTGTACAATTATCTCCTGAACAAATTTACAGTGCTGATGAAACTGTTCTTTTCTGGCAATATGTACCAAGAAATACCTTACAGAAAAGGCTCCAACTAGTGTCAAAGATTCCAACATGAGACTAACAAGTTTAGCATGCGCAAATGCTGCAGGAATGCACAAATATATGTAAACTTTTCGAAATCCGAAAAAATACATAACCTGAGGCATTTAAAGGAGTAAAGAGTTTTCCATTATATATCATGCAAATAAAAGAACACGGATCATACAAGTGTTAATGAATGATTGATTTGAAAATCATTTCATATCCAAGGTTCGGCACCATTTGTTTGGTTTACCTGACGACGCAAAAATTGTTCTGATTGTAAACAACTGTTTGGCTCATACTTAATGTTTCAGAGAAAGATAATGTATCCATATTATTCTTTCCTCCAAATTGTACGTCCATCATTCAGCCTATGGATATGGGAATAGTGCATGCGCTGAAATGCAAATATAAAGTAGCATTTTTAAAATCTATGTTAAATTTCTTGAACATTGGCAAGACTATTTGAAATTTTTTAGCATAAAATCTGCTGTGTGGAGCAGTGCATAAAAAAAAAAAAAAAAACAAAAAAAAAAAAAAAAAAAAAAAAAAAAAAAAAAAAAAAAAAAAAAAGAAAAAAAAAAAAAAAAAAAAAAAAAAAAAAAATAAAAAAAAAATTCTTGGCATAATTTATGGCCAGCTACCATATTCATGTTGAGGACGATGAAGATGATAGCCACGAATTTGAAGGTTTTCAGACATTGCAAACTAAAGGTGAAATTTTCAGTTTAATGGAATTTCACAGTTATTGGATTTTGGATTTATTGGATTGTAAGAAATGTGGAGAAGCGGTAATAAATGAAGATGATTAACAGAAGTTTTTCATTGCAACGACAGCCCCCAATTTAATCAATTAATGGACGGCGAAATCTGTAGTATGATTCTAGATCCAGAAAATACCGCAATCAGAAGTCCCGACGAGTCTGGATTATGGACTTTGTACTGTATCATGGACTGCATAACTATCTAAAATAATTAAATAGGTTTTGTATCAGTTATTATTGTTACTTAAAGTAATGTAAAATACATATGTTTTAACAAGCAATAATTGCAATGAAATGGTGTTTTCCCCCTCCCATTTCTGACATAAAATATATGGATTATTGATACACACCATTAGCCATTAAAACCTTTTTTTGTTAAACCTTTCTGCTTTGTCTCACAAGCTCTCAATAGATTGACTATGACACTTTATGTCTGGATGAATAAAATGACAACGATTTAAAGTCACAAGAATGATATCCATTGTAAAGAAAAAAGTTATGATTAGATGAAAAATGATATGGCATGAGCATTAGCAATAAAGACAATTGTCACCAACATAGAAGTCAAATCAAATTGGCAATGTTTAGCATCAAAGAAATATACTAAGAAAAACATCAAGTAGACTTTAACAAGAAAAAATCAAAATTACTAGCAATTGTATGTGCTTTTTAGGAAACTAATAATAAGAAACAGGAATTAGTGTAACATGAAAGAATTTGCTGGTCTGGAGTCAAATTAACCTTCAATTTAAAATTGGGAAAAAAGGAAAGCAACTTTAGTTTAGTATAGATTTTGAATAAAATTCTAGTGATTTCAAGAGTATGTAACAGAGTTCTTGAGAAGGGGGAAAAAAAAATTCTCAGGAGGAAACAACTTAGTTTCTTCTATAAAAACATACTTGTTGAGGATTTTTCATAAAGAAATGTCTTTTAGGGAATTAAGACAAAATAATTTGTTGTTGGGCAACACAGGTAAATAAGGTTTCTAACATATGGATAGCAGAAGCATCTTTCGTTAATTACACAATCTTTCTTTGTAGTAATGATGCAGATATTCATAAAAATTATAACATTACAAATTACTCCCATCAATGGTGCTATTAAAAATAAAGATATGAGTTGTGATATTGTTTTTAAATTAGAGTTAAGTAGGCAAGAAGTAGTTTTAATTTATAATTTTAATTTTTAAGCATAAATTAAGGTAAGAAGTAAATATAATAGATTTAAAAAATTGAGATTAAGCTGTAGAATGTAATGCTAGAAATGCCCCAACAGTACCAAATGTTAAAATATATTAAATAATTGTACTTTCAAAAGGGAAAAACAAATGAGACTGATGTTTAAAGAATATCTGTGAAATTTAATAAGGAGGGAAGTAAGACAGATGGAAAGCTAAAATAAGGAAGCAATTTGAAGGCAAACTATGCATTGAAAATCTGAAAAAATGCTTAAATAATGCAGTTGTAATATTTAGAAGTGCTGTATGTAGTTATGAGCAGAGATCATGTTTAAAGTGTTATTTTTCTGATAGATCAAAGCTTCTAAATGTCTAATGTTTAATTATGCTAAAATATGTATTTAAGTATGTACTTTGTGTTTTAATGTTTGCCATATTAATTATGAGAATTTTTTTAAAAATTTATTATTATTAATTTTTTTTTTTTTTTTTTTTTTTTTTTTGTTCAGAGTATATTTTTACCATATCTAATATTAGAATTGGGATTTTGTTTGTGGACAAAATTTGAATCACAGGTAAATCTGTATTAAATTTTCATATTTTTATGATTAATGGTTTGCACTAAAATATATCGTTTGATATTATTTGGTCTTTCATTAAAATTAAAACATTAGACCCCCAAAGAAAAGTCATTAGACCTCTGTCCAGTGACATCCTCCATCACGGTCACCTTTAAAAATAAAATAAATAGTATTTTTGTATATATCTCAGTTAAAGTAAGAAATCCAATAATAACCAGCTGTTATTAATACTAACCATGCCTTTTGCAAGTATGATAAATAATGCATTATAATCACATTTACTGTATTAATACTGTATTAAGTATTAATAATGACCAAGTTTAGTCAGCATGATTAATTAAGCATAATAGTTTGAAACCCCAAACTCTTATATAATTTCAGTGTCATATGATATGAAGTGCATAACATTTCATACATTAACAGCTTTATTAGCAATGAAATTTGGTCCCTACAATAATAGAAATAGATCAAGTTTCTCATTTCATTCATCTTTGTAGAGCCAAAATATTTTTAGTTCGGTTGTGTTATCTCTATTTTGGGTTCTGATTAGTAATGTAGTTTCTCCAGCAAGTAATTATTTACTACTATATTTATTTATATACTGTTAATCCTGTAGCTTAATTCTTAGCAGCAGTTTATTTTAAGAAGTATAAAAAAAATTAAATAACGATTGTTGTTATTTTAAGATACATTCATTATTTATTACACTAAATAAATTGCATTACACATTAAGTTGTTTGCAAGGACAAAACAATACAAATGAATTACATTACAAATACAGCAGTATTATAATTCTAACAAGCAGAAAATTGGAAACAAATTACATTACAATTGCATTATTAAATTTAAAAAAAATATTTATTTTGGCAGAAACAACCTCTGTGGCATTTGAAATTACAAAGGGTTTTTGACTTTTTACATTTGTAGCAGTTTGAGTTACAACTGCTTTTACAATTGCAGTGTTGGGATTCTTGACCACTTGAGTTAAATTCTCATGACCACATTCTCTTGAATGTATTTTAATACATATTTTTTATCTGGAATTTAACTGACTCAAATTCAACATTTGCAGTGGATATTTTAAGTCGTCAACATATTTTTCACTTTCTTGTTTAATGACTGTTTAGTAGAACTTTGAGCTTCTGGAATATTTTTTGAGACATTAAAGAAGAGCTTTGTTTTCTTTGAAGTCTTCCATATCCACATTTTTGAAGCCATATGTGTTTTCTTTCTATCATTGGTCTTCTTTAGTTCAGAATTATGTTATTTTTTTATTTATTTATTTTTCCCTTCAACACTCTTATTTCTGTTTTTGGTTGGATCTGCAACAATTATTATTTCAATTAAAGTCTACTCCAGTCACCCAGTTCCACTTTCATATTTTCATTTATTGCACCTATATTCTCATCATTAGTTGAAATTATTATCTGAGTTAGGTATCATTATTAGATGGATTTCTTAATATAGCAAGATCTTTGTGTAATGGGAGTATAAGTCAGTTTCCATTAGAAAGGCCTCCATGAATGAATCCCTGCCATTAGGCAGATAGCCTAAATGTTCTTTGCCATATTAAATAAACATAACATTTGGTGATTTGCTAGAACTCTTCTTTTGGCTTTCAATTTGAACATGTCCTATTGATTATTAAAATGTGGCTTAAAATGTGAGCACTTTCATCTTAAGATTATCAGTTCATTTTTTTTCTAGTTGTTGCTAACAAGCTGAAACAAATTCATGTACTCATTGCAGCTGTCATACTGTTACAAATTTTGTGTGTATGTAAAACATTTTAGTGAAATTATATGTAAATTATATACTATCTTTTGTATAATGTAACATACCTCAGAAATGTGAAGCTTAACTAGGACAATATGGTTACAGAGTTAAGTCCATTTAAAATTAAGATAAACAGCTAAGCTGGTGATAGTTATGACAACTAATTTTTGTTACCAAACTTGGTGACATTTGTAATTGTAAACTGGTCTGTTCCCTATGTAACTGTAACTGGCCCTATGTAATTCTATATATACCTTCCAGAAATTTCGAGAAATCAAAGGTACTAGAAATTTGTCAGTGGATGGAGACCAGAGAGAGCATCAGTTTAGTTTAGCTCAGAGTGCTGAGCATATTCAGGAATCACTGTGCGAGCTAATGCATTCTTAATAGTTTGAAGTGATAATTACTGATTGTGCTCTGTCATACTGAGAAGTGCTGTATGAGTACATATACGAAAAGTTCCAGGTACTGGAAATTTCTCAGTAGATTGGAGAAACTATTAAAGACCAGAGAGGTCATCAATTTAGTTTAGCTCAAGTACTGAGAGATCACTGTGCACATTGAGGCTTTTTATATTGTTTAGTGTTTAATGTTCTTAGTACTTTGAAATGGTAATTACCAATTGTGCTCTGTCATACTGAGAAGAGCTGTACATGTACTTTTAGGGAATAATTCCAGAACCATGAAGTGTTTCTTTTGGGAAAATAAATTTTATCAAGCTATTATTGGTTTTGTGTGCATTCAATCCATTAATAACCATTATCCACATAACAATACAATTGCACATTAATGAGCCATTAATGCAAGAAAAACATATGCATGCATAATGGCAAATATCAAGCTGAACACAATGAAAATTATAACATTTACTAATCATTGTTGGAAATTATTAATAATAACCTGCTCATAAATTCTCAAATTATCCACTTTAGCTAGTTTATTTGGCTGTAAATAATAATTGATTAATGGCATTGACCATAATATATATATTTTTAGATTTCACCATATTGTTGCTAGCTTATATTTTTAGTAATTAAACCAAATAAGACAAAGAAAGGGACTGTTAACTGAAATAAATCGCAGCTTGCACAAAAAAGGAAGTAGCTATAAATAGAAGAGAAAACGTAAGGCAGGCAAAGTACTTTTCATATTCATTGACTGTTTCAGTGGCTGACTAATGGTAAAAACCAATGGATGAAAGAGTAACAGATATTGAATTACCTAGACTATGTTATATTTAACGATTATGTGTATATAAGCAGTATGTTTACAGTTATCTAGTTATTAACAACGTAAGTTGGATGCATTGTTTTATAAAATAAAATATATGCTAGGTAATTTTTGGAAATTTTCCTTGAAAAGCTACTTGTAATCCATCTTAACAGTATTTTTCTCTTTTACTTGAAATTTTCATTGCTTTTTTTTATGCTAAAGAAGTCTGTGTCTGAATAACTTCCTTTGTTCTCAGGTCTGTTCAAGGTCTGTTGTATCGTCTCTCATTCCTGGGTTCCTGTTTATTTGCGGACTACATACATCAGCAATAACAGCATTTAGTTCTGTGTTGAATATTTTGCAGTGTGTTGTACAGGATCTTGCTGTATACATATTTTCATTCATTTTTTTGCATTTTGTTTGTGAAATATGTAAATAAAAATATTTGATTCTTTTTTCCCACCTTGTTGTTGTTTCAAGTTTAATTTATTAAAAATGTTTATTAGGATTGAAAGTGTTTTAGGAGCTCAGGTGTGTAACTTTAACTGTGATTCAAAATTAAATGATGAAATGAGAAGAGGAATGGTTTTACTTAGAATGATTGTCAAAAAAAATTTTTTTTTTGTACAAAGTACTATACTTAGTAGGTATTTTGTCTGCTTTGTCAACTCTAATTGTAAATCAACAAATAATAATGGTAAAGTAGATGAAAGGTCTTTATCTAGGTAAGCATGCTTACCTAAATTTCAATTATCTTTTTGACTTGTCGCTGTATGTGTTAGATATAAATACGTGTGAATAGTATTTTCATATATTATCAGTTTTATTATGATATTGTTGCATTTTACAGCTTTGTGGATTTGGAGTAATTGATAACATGATGAAGGATGATAAACATATAATTAATATATATATATATATATATAACATAAGAAATATAAAATATATGGTGGCATAACAAAAAGCAACAGGAGCAATTTTTAAGGTTCAGAATAATTTTTTAAAATTTATTAGTGTTATTACAAATAAAAACACTGGTGTTTTTAATTTAAGTTGTTTCTTTCTATAGCTTTTAAACATTGCTTTGGACTGGATTATTTTGGTTATGGCAAAGCATGTGAAGGCTGTTTGCCTAAAGAAAGGAATGCCTTCCTGGGAGACTTTCTAAATGAAACTGGCTCGTATCCACATTACGCATGGGGAAAATCAGGAAAACTCCCATGTAGGAACTTCTTTGAAAATTTGAACAATGGTTGATCTAGCAAATTTTACTGTTTGGCCACTGATGGGTCTTCAGAATTGTTTTAATTATTAAACAAATGCCAGGCCAATAAGCAACAGGCTGTCCAATATAATAATTAACAATGCAATAAAAATTATTTAGTGTGGAACATTCGCCAAGATGAGCATCAGTCATGCCTTGTCTGGAGTCATACATCACGTATTCCGGTTGAATTATTCAGTTAAAAAAGAAACAAATAGGTGCTAAGACAATCATATCCAGTCAAAAGTGGGCCACAGCAGCAGATCCAGAACACTGTAAACACCACAAAGCACAATCCAGGGCCGCCAACAGCAATCTGATAATGAAGGGAGTATAAAAAAGGGAAAATAGATTTCAGAGTTCAACTCCTTGGTTATTTTCAATCTGTATGCTCTGCAGTGGATGGCAAGGGACGAATATCTGTTTATGCATGTTAGCCAGCAGGTGTGCTCGTCCCTTCGTTACTTGTCATTTGTATAATCTACCTGTTCTAAATTTAATTGTAAATTAATAATTGAAAGTTAATTTAACCATACAACCACATTACACAAAAGAGGGTGGAAAGAAGAAGGGAAAAATGATAGAGATAAACTGTACATCTTGAACAAATAGCAAATGAAAATTAGTTAAGTATAAAAACATTACACAAAACTGTAATAGATTTATGTCAAGTGTAATTTTATTGCTTGCTTCTCTTCTAACATGCACACAAAATAAAAAGAATTGTATAAAAGCGCTTTTAGTAGGTCAGTTCTTAGTTCATGCAAGAAAATACTTTTCTCTTTACCGTGTAGATATTTTTCACATAGCAGTAAAAAGTATATCAGTTATCAGGGGTGTAGCTGTCCCCGGGCGCAGAATCCAAGGGGTGCCAAACTGATGTTATGACATTTTAGAATTAAATGTTTTCCATTCTTGGCAAGCAGTAGGGGGCACGAAATCTTCAGCTGTCCCTGGGTGCTGAAAACCCTAGCTACGACTCTGTCAGTTATCAATGTATTACTCCTTTTGGAAGAGGAGCAAAGGCCAAACAAAACAGCTTTTTCAGTAAACAAAAGCATTATTGCTTATCTCTAAATGCCATGTATATATCCTAAGGGGTGTAGGGGCAGTTCAGGAAAAAATAGAACTTGTACAGAAATGCATGATTCTCTTTGCAATTTAAAATGCACATTGGTGCATTAAAGCATCTTTTGATTGCAGAAGCTACTTTACGAACTGAAAATACTCCACAGAATATATGTAATCTCATTTCTTTATATTTTCGTCATCAGATTTTGCATTCTAATTTTTATTTTATTCTTAGGCTTTATATTTTGGCTACTGTGTTACTATTACTATGCTCTAATTCCAAAATGAGTAGATGTGAAGGTGAATCTAAAAGTAATCATGAAAAGAATCTAAAAGTAACTCAGTGCTTTAGAGAAAGGATATTTAATTTATTCTTTGAGAACTTTTTTCTAGTTATCATTATGCACAAGGGAGACACCTATACTATACTATACCAGTTCATTCAGGTTCCAAATCATTATCTCCTGTTCTCCTGAGTTTTGATTTCAATATATTAACTAATGCATATCTCCTCTGAAAGAAACTCTGCGTTTCTTAAAAAGAGTTAATGTCTTCTACAGTATTCTCTGTGAATGAAGAGTACAGTCAAAAGTCGTTAATTCGGACACCCATAATCCGGACCTCAAAGCTAAAAACTTTATGCGCATGCGCCGCGTTGACACATGCGCATAGGCGTTTACGCGTGCGCGTAAGACCTTTACGACTGCGCATATGCGTGTGCGCAAGCGCAGAATACGTTTTCGCGTGCATGTTTAATGTATAACGGACGGTATAAGCTAAAATTATCTAATTATCTATTGCAGTTAATGTTGATGATTGCATTGTTCCTTAATCTTCGAATTGGATACGGCTTATTAAGCAATTTTATAAAAGTAAACTTGAAGTTTCGATTATGTCAAATAGAATTTCCGATGCTGGAGCTCCCAAAGGATCTACAAAACGAAAGTATGTTTCGATGTCCGTCAAACAAAAAGTGGAATTGCTGCAAAAAATGGATAAAGACATGAAGAAGGTGACAGAGAGGTTAGTGAAAACGAAAAAATTTCGATTAACAAGTTAGTCGATATTCTCGGCACAGCAATTACGGGACTTGAACAGCGGAACTTTGTAACTAAACAAGAAATTATGTCTGTTTTGTTTATAGAATTAAAGAGAAAGTATTATCACATAAAACGAAGCAACTTAAACAACTTACATTGAAAGAAATGTTTAATAAAGTAAACAAATAAATATTAAGCTTTTTTTTAAAAAAAATTTTGATACCCTTTAAATCATAATTGTTCTTTATTTCATAAATTACGGTTTCATATTTTTAATTTTAGAATTTCTGCATGCCATCTTACGAGATTTAAACTGATGATATATAATCCGGAATCGCCGAAGTCCCGACGAGTTCGGATTAACGACTTTTGACTGCATTATGTATTGAAATATGCTTTCAGTTCTTTCAAAGTGCTGAGTCTTAGTGCTCTTGGGAAATTATATTTGAGACTATTTTCTCGTTCTCATTATGCATGAGAAATACGTACATATTGTGCCAGTTCATTCAGTTTCAAAATCATTGCATCCTGTTCTGCTAAGCTTTGATTTTTTTTATTGAGTAACTACATCTCCTCTGCTTCTGAAAATGAATAATCTTTGCTTTTCTGTTAATAATTGATACTTCTAAATTTTGCTTTGCAAATGAGAATATTACACATTGAAATAATTTTTCAAGTCTTCCAAAATCCTGGAACATAGTCCTTTAGAGAAAGGATATTAGTTCTTTGAAACTTTTCTTCACATTTTCATTATGTACAAGGAAAATACTTATCATCTGCCACTTTCAGTTGCTAAATCCTTACAACATGAGGTTTGATTTTATTAGGGAATTGGCGTATATATCATATGCTTCTCAAAATGAAGAAGCCAACTCGGCATTTCTTATAACAGCCGAAACATTTTACAGTATGTGCTATAATGAAAAATATTGTACATTGAAATTTTTTCTATAAGAACTAGAACTACTAATGAAATATTTTTACTAGAGCTAGAATATAAGTACTAAAGCGTATCTGTCAAGTTGAGGTTTGGAAGATATCTGTTTTTGAGATCGTTTTCACTGGTTTTTGTTACACAAAAGAAAATGCTTATGCGTTGTCTCCTTATTTCTTATTATGTCTTAAGGTTCATCTGTTTAATGAAAACTAGCTTTCAAATCACATTCAAGATTCAATGAAAAAAATTACTAATATATATACAGTATTCTCTTGATTATCCGGGTGCGCATTATATGGTTTGCGGATTATGCATGCATACCCACGCATGCACACTTAATACTATGAGCGAGAGTATGTAAAAAACAAACAGGTGCAAAGCTAGTCATGGAAAAAGATTATTTCCAATACAGAAATCGGAGATTTATCTAATTGTGAAGAAGTCGGGGCATTAACTGAAGTTGTTTGCCAAAAAATTGGAAATGTATAATTCTAGACACCTGGGGAAATTTAATGAGAATTTTGCAAATGAGTTTTCTCTTTTATACTTCCAAAACGTATAATATATGAAACATTATGTTATACATATTTCTAATCCTTTTTTCCATTCATAAAAACCAGTCAAATTCTGCTAATGTTATCAGCTTTGCTACAAGAGATACTGATTGTAGTTTTAAATGTTATAAGCTATAAATACATTTTTTTCATGAGAGGAACTGCAAAAAACTCCCATACAGACAGCTCATTTGCTGGGATGTTTCAGCAATATTACTGTGGCCCGCTGATGGATCTTAAAAATAGTTTTAATACTGGTAGAAATTTGAAGCTAATGCATGATTTGCAACACTGCCTCGTACAGGCTATTTATGGTGCATAAGTTGCATATCAATCGATAATTGGTCCGAGAATTCCCTGTCATAGGTGTTATAGCACGTAGCTTAGGAACATTTTCTATTTTGAAAAGAGTAGAATTTTAATTCTACTATTTCAGTAAAAATAGTAAGACCTACTTCCAAGTGCTAATAAAGAGTTGAAATGGAGAAATCAGAACTTAAATTTACGATATATTTACATGTCTTATAATTTAGAGACACATTTTTCAAATAATTTTCTTCCATTTTCTTTGTATTTGTCTTATACAGTTAATTAAGG